TTTGCTAAACATGCATGCATTATTTGTTTAATAGAAGAAATATATACAGGGAAAAGAAGTGCCTTCCAGGGGAAACGTTTAAATTAGGTAATTCTAATTTTAACTTCTTAGTCAAATGATTGAAATGCAACTTTAAGAAATAATAATAACCCTTTGTAGTCAAATAGGAGGCAGGAATGAGCTCTTCAGTTTGGGTAACAGCCAGCTTCATGTTGTCTCCTGGATTTTTCATCTCTAACTTTGCTGGTCCTGGGGCATGAGTGAGTACCTCCAGAGTTGGAGTTGGTGGTCTGTCTTTGCCACCCCCCTGGACTCTTAATGCACAGACCCCTATTCAGTACAGAGCAATATACAGTAGAATGTTTTCTTAAGTTTGTCAGAGTTTTCCTAAAGAATGTCACCAGATTGGTTATAGAACCAAACCCCGAAAATCCAAGCAAAGAATTGGACAGGATAATTCCTTTTGGCGTTTATGAAAACATTAATTTCTTTCTAGATGGCAGTAGTGGAAAGCTATGACCATTTAGGGCCTAACTTTAAGATGCATGTGTGCTAAATTCACAAGATGATTCTTAATTCTTTCTGTTTAATTCTTATTCCAGCTCAATGACTGGGGTTACTGCTAGGGTTACTGCTAAAAAGTTATAGGGGGCTTCCCTTAGAATGAGGTGGGTCACATAAGTGAACAGGATATCTAACTGAAAAGTGGCAAAAATAGTAGTAGGTGCTTTTTTCCCTTTTCTCATTTTCTGTTATTAACACTTAACCCTTAAAATGTGAGAGATACAGATCATAAAGTAGCTTTATTCTGGTTCCCTACTCCCTCCACTTACTGGGAAAATAGACGCCAAAGTTCTGTCATTTTCCCTTCTGTGTGTTGTGTTTTAGCTGAATAGAAAAAAATGGTGCAGTCTTGTTACTTTCAGTTGGATGGGACAAATGCATGTGTCAAAATAATGCCCAGTAGTAGCCAACCAACAGATGGCTTCTACCCTATTGGGAAAGCCAAGGCTATCACTTGTCCCCGAAATGAAGATAGCCTAAAAAACTTTGAGAGTTGTCAGACTTTACAGCTTTTGGAAAAAGTGGTCTAAATGACATTCTAGAGGAATCCATTTTCTGAGATTTTAGGGCCTGTTAGTGTCAGATTTGTGGTTTTTGTAATATTTCTGTATCTTGCAAGCAGAAGAAACTTAACTTCCATTTATAGGCAATAGTTTCCAGTATTTGTCCCGATTATTGCTTTGTAAAACTTGGCACATGTAAACTAATAACATTAAATTGGTAATGTTGATTTTGCATTCTGAATTACAGTTTAGGCAGAGAGCTGAGGCAAGTGATGTGAATGGATGTTTTTCTATTTAAGCTCATGGATTCTTTTATCAGGAGATCTGAAAGGTCCTTGGGGTCCAAAAGAGAAAAGACCTGTTAGTCATCTAAGGGGAAGAAGCAGTTTGGAATTCAATTATATGGCACAAGCTGGAAAGATGTAAAGCAGAAACAAACATTGATGCTAGTGGAGCATCTCATCCATTCAGGTTCCTCTCCTGCCCTGGCCAAAGCATCTTTGAATATGAGAGTGCATCCCTCTACCCCTTGTCTGGAGACTATAGGGGAGACAGGCCTCTTATCCTGGGGCAGGTGTAGGTGTAAGGTACATGTCCTCAGGAGGGCTGATTAATGCCAGGGGGCAGGTGGGGGCAGAGAAGGTGACAAAAAACAAGGTTTCAGGAAAATGACTTTGTTGGGGGAGAAAAATCAGATAGGTAAGAAGTATAAAGCTTGAAATTGATTAAATTAGTGAGACTTAACTAAGCATCATAAACACCTATGGTGTTTTTAAGAAATACAGACGCCCAACTCCAGACCTACTAAAACAAGCGCTAGTTAGGGATGTGTTTTTAAGTGCTAGGTACGTTTACTGCATACCTCTAAGAGCCACTGTTCAAAATGTAATTTAGTGCATCTAGTTTTTAAAATGTATGAGAAACCTAGTAATTGGATGGTTTTTCCCACTTCTTTCATTTCTTTCAGAAAGTTTTTCTAAGATATTGCCATTCTCAGAATAGGTAGACACTGGTTGGTATTTTGTTGGAAGGCTGAGTTTGTTTTTCTCTGATGTGTTCCGTATAGATTGTATATTAGTATATGATTAAGACCCAGTCTATAAGAACTTGATTCCCTGAGCAGTTTTCAGGGAATTTTGGCTTTGTTATTCATGCTAACTTTAAGTATATGACCCTTTTCCTTGAGATACTGATATTCAGAGTAGTGCTTCTTTTGGTAGGATTTTAATGTGTTGACATTTATTGTTCTGACAGCCCTGAAAGTGGACTTAGAATTTTCCTTGCGTGTAGGGGCTTTTCCAGCTGGTTTTACAGATTTGACCATGGACCAAGGTTTAAAGCTAACTTTATGCTTTTAGATTTGGCTAATTTAGGTGTCATTTCTTCTAGACAGGCTAAATATCCTTGCACATAGTTACAAACCAGCTAATGGCCAATGTAACTGCAAAAAGGTTTAACTTTAAGACTACCCCTGACAAGAAAGGTAGGAGGTTAGAGGCATTGTTTTCTGTGTTAGCCTAACAAGTGTCAGTACAGAATGGAAAAAATCTTAGCATTCTGGTGGTTTCTCCTATTCCTGGTCTGAGAAGTGATTACTCACAAAATGCATCTGCATGTAGCCAATTAGTTGTAGAGGTTGAGTGAAAAGTCTTATGATAATTTCACAAATACTGTATCTTTGACCCTTGATCTGCTAGAATTTCATGGGAAAACCTCATTAAGGTTTATTCTGAGGCTAAAAGTACTTTCTTTTCCCTCTTGGTGGACAGGCTGGTAAAGCATCTCAGCTTGGAATAAGGCTTTTCTGTTTACTGAAGCGAGAGGCTTAAAAGAGGATCTTGACTTTTTCTACTCTTCCTTCCTTTTTCAGATCCGTAAACTGATTTCTGTTAACTACAGTTACTTTATTGGTAATCTTTTAACTCTTATTGTGAGGGACCCATATTCTCTTCCTGCCAGAGCAAATTGTTTTCGTTGGTTTTCATTAAAAGTCATAATCATTCCATGAAGTAATCTTTCTAGCATTGGAGTAAACAAAGGTATTTAGTAAATAGCTTTTAGGTCCCTGTTTCTTCCTTCTCTTCTAGATTAGCTTTTGCCTGTTGAAATGATGGCAGAAAGTGCATCCCCAATTTGAGAACTTCTTTGTTCGAGGAGGAGGAGGTGGATTGTGCTTTAAAATGTCTCTTCAGAATATTTGCCAGAGAAAGCCAAGGGATTGTTGGTTGGGGTCCCCAAACCACTTCTAACCACTCCTTGATGGTAAAAGCAGCTGTTTTCACTAATAATTAGGGACCATCTTTGAATCTCTTTACTAACTTGTGGCAGGAAGGAGAGGGGGCTGTCATGTTTCATGTCACTTTACACCATGTTTCATAATGACTGAAATCTTACTGTAAAGTTTCTAGAGTTGTTTTGGGTGTAGAGACCAGAACTCCTTTTGCCCACTGAGTTAACTCTTATGTTCCCTGTTCTAAACTTTAAGCTTTAATTTGTCTCTTCTGTGTTGCATCATAGGAAGGATCTTCCAAATTTTCTCCATTATGTTCTTAAGTCACAGAACATTCTAAAATGTTTTGGGCTGTGATTTAAAAGAATTTCGTATCTTCTGTCCTTTGAAGAATGGCCAGTGTATTTATTCTGAGGGTCTACCACACAGGGAGGTCTCTTGTGATAACTTCTATGCAGCTTCAACATTGATTCTTACCCCTACAGTGACTTACCTGTAATGTTGATTCCTTTTGAGTCTGGCTGTTTATCCTGTGTTGGGCAGGAAGTTCATTAGACTAATGCCTTTTAATTTGCTGAAGATGGATAACCTGGAATAAAGGTTGTCTTGGTTTGATGATACCTTGGTTAGCTATCAGACTGAGTGGATTCTCTTGTCCATTCCACTATTTCTGTTTTGGTGTCTTGGCAGAACCTTTCCCTAGGTCCAGTTCTTTCTATACATGTTTGCTTTTTGCACTAATTATATGCCTTTGGTTCACTGATGAACTAGTTATCCTGTTTACCCATTTCTTTGCTAGTTTCTTTTAGAAATCTTTTTTGTATTACCTACCTACCAGCTAGTTCCAGTTATGATAGGGAAAGCTTGGGTATACAGTATATACCTAGATTTCCTGAACTTCCCTTCCTAAACCTAGATAAGGAACCCGTGATCTAAACTGTTTTGGTTTTAATATGTCCTTTATGTAACTTTTCTAACTGCTTATTCTCAGTTCCCCATCAGTTGGCACTGGCTCATCTACACTTAGCTGAGTAAGATCTCTGGTACCCTCTTAATTCTTACCTCTGCAGTTAATTCACTGCCTCTCTGCTATAGCTCCATCTGGTTGCTTTGAGCTTTTTAAGGGCTTCCTACCATGGTTAGGTGGACAGGCTCTACAGATCTAGTGTCCTTCAAGCTGGTCCTTGCTTTCCACTAGGTTTCTACCTTTCTCTGGGACTTGAAACAGTTACCGTCCTTGTCTTTTTTCCCACTCAGCAGTAAATAAAACTTGAATATACAGTAAGTTTTAATTAATTTCATAGGGTTTTTTTGGTTGATGGCAACTTGGTTGAAATAGGTGTGAGGTATAGGTGTCATAGTTAATAAGGTTCTTTCTCACCCTAGTCTTTATGGAGTAACATTCCCAAAACAATCCTTGGGCAGTTCCCTTAACTGCTTGGCTTTGGCACCCATTTCTGAAGAGTGGGGTCAGTTAACTCTTACCCCTGCTCCCTAAAAAAAGGTGGAAGTTCAAGTTAATTGGCTTATGTCAATTGGAGCAACGTAACTATTATACCAGGTATATTCAGTTCCTGCCCTTACCTATGTTTTCTTATCTTGGAAGGGGATTGCTTTCCCTCACCATTTATCTCACCACAGCTTATTTGTTTTTAAAGTTGCCCAGAAAGTATACAAATTAAACTTTTGACATCTACGTGTAGGAATCCCGTTCTGCTTCCAGAAGTGGAAGTGCTCATGGATCTGGGAAATCTGCAAGGCATACCCCTGCAAGGTCTCGCTCCAAGGAAGATTCCAGGCGTTCCAGATCAAAGTCCAGGTCCAGATCTGAATCTAGGTAAGAAAGACTGTCTTGGGATTTTCTTGTTACTCTTAGCTTTCAAATTGGTGTGTGCTTTTGTAAACTAGGAAGATAGAGAGGGTCAGTTCATTTGTTGGCTTATTTAATATTGGTACTAGAAATGAACTTAGTCGTTAAGATCTGGGAGATAGAAGACTAAGTGGTTAAGAGCCTGGGTTTTTGGAGTTAGGGTTCAAATCTTACCTCTATTTTTTTCTGGCTTGGGCAGATTACTTAACCTTTTTCAGTCTTAGCTTCCTTATCTATAAAAGGCGAATTAGTAATAGTACCAGTTCTTCAGAATTGTGAGGATTCACTATGAGTTTTAAGTGAACTGCTTATTAGTATGGCAAATAGACTGCAGAATATTGGCTTTCAGTAACTGCAATTCTTGATAAATAGGTATAGTCTAGTATGACAAATGTATGTATAAAACAAAAACCTTAATGCAGCGCTATTTTTTTTTTTTTAAATGTTCGTCAAGAGTAAGCTATACATCTTGGTTTGCCCAGGTCAGCCCCAGTTTATGCCGATTGTCAGGCATAATTAACAGCGCCCCCTTTCTCTCTTACAATGTATATCCTCCTTGGTTTAAATGACAGTTCATATAATCACTGTAGTTAAGAGCAACTGGTTTTAAAATACTGCTGGAGAAAACTGTGATGGTGATTTTATCTTAAGTGAATAGTGGGCATAATGCAAGAAGCAGAAAAATAGAGGGTGGTATTCTGAGGGGTAAAGGTGGGTGCAAATCAAGCTAGTATGAAATGCATGTTTTATGGTTTTCGAAAGATAATTGTGTTAAGTTTAATCTCTAAATTATTTTAAGATATGATGGAAGGGAACTTTAGCTGGTAGTGGTTTTTTGGAACTCTTCCTAGCAGAGTAGAAGTGACTATATACAGAAGAAGAGTATCGATCCTGCTATATGCCTGAATTGTGTGTTCCAACTTTTGTAGTTTAACTCTAGAATAGAGTATTGAAAGCCATATCTTACTGTTAGTTATTTAGTCATAACCTTGAAGCCTTTGTCTTTCAGGTCTAGATCCAGAAGAAGTTCTCGAAGGCATTATACAAGGTCACGATCTCGGTCCCGCTCCCATAGAAGATCCCGTAGCAGATCTTACAGTAGAGATTATCGAAGACGGCATAGCCACAGTCATTCTCCCATGTCTACTCGCAGGCGTCATGTTGGGAACCGGGTAAGATGAAAAAAATGTTTTTAAAGCAGTGGACTGTTTAAAGCCGCTTTATAATAATACATAATATGTTCCCTTTTTTTCTTTTGTTCGATGTTAGAACTGATATTATTTGACAGTGGAGCTTTAGCATGAGTTACCTGTAGTGCCTTTTTAGTGTTTCGAGATTGTCTCTTTTTAAAAGATACCACCCATGTAATTGTCTATATTTGTGCTATTGATCACATTTAAGATATTGTCACATTAACAAGGTATTGTCATATTAACAGCACATCAGATTAAAAAAATCTCCATTATACATTACTATTATTACTATTAGTACACTAGATCATAGGTCTGTATGTTTCATACTAATGTTAATTTACGTTTTCTGGGTTTGTTTTAATACACTTTACAGAATGCTGTCCTGATTTTCTCATTTACTTTTTTTTTTTTTTTTAAATTCTTGGCTGTGTTGGGTCTTTGTTTCTGTGCGAGGGCTTTCTCTAGTTGCAGTAAGTGGGGGCCACTCTTCATGGCGGTGCGCGCGCCTTTCACTGTTGCAGCCTCTCGTTACGGGGCACAGGCTCCAGACGCGCAGGCTCAGTAGTTGTGGCTCAGGGGCCTAGTTGCTCCGCGGCATGTGGGATCTTCCCAGACCAGGGCTCGAACCCGTGTCCCCTGCATTGGCAGGTGGCTTCTTAACTACTGCGCCACCAGGGAAGCCCTCCCATTTACTTTTAAGCAAGTTTCTTTCAGGTATTAAGGCTTTTTTATCTTCCACAAGAAGTTCCAAATGAGATGGCATTTAGTGTGTTCATATTGTGGTTTCATTGTATAATGTAATGCAAGTAGATGTAAAGGGAGTGTTTGTTTTTGAAAGTGCGATGGAATTTGACTGCAGTAAATGTATGTATGACGTAAATGAAACCTTTAGGCAAATTCATTACGGCTACTGGAGTGTCAGCGACATTTGGTTCATTATTTTCCTTACGGTAATAATTGCAAGCTACTTATTAATACCTGTTAAATACAGTTTGGTACTCATCTTTGGTTACATTTATGTGTGTGTATATGTGTATATATATATATAAACTTAATGTATACAATGTTTCTATAGAAATAAAATCGGGCTGAACATGCTCTTCTCTATCTTTTTGGCAATTTAGAGCCTCCTATTGCGTGAGTGGTATATCATAACATTTTAACAGTATGCTGTTTTCCCCCCCTCTGGCTTATAGAGACAGTGCTATTCTGATTATCAATATGTGTGCATATTGTTGAATATGTGGCCATTTCTTAGAATAAAGCCCTAGAAGGTGAATCCTTTGGGCAAATTGCCCTCCAATCTCCCCCCCCAAAAAAATGTCATGTGCTTTTCACTAGTATGAGCTGCTGTTTCCCGTCCACTTACTAAGTTGAACTTACCCCTTTTGCGGTCTTTTTTACATGTTCTTAAACATGCTTATGGTGTTGCCGTAATATTAATTTTAGAATAGCATTTTATTTCGTTGTTTATTATCTTTTAGGGTTAGTGTGACATTTTTGGCTAATTTATGCATAGTTTCTTTTTTTTTTTAACTTTGATTTATGACACGTTTTAAAGTTGAAAATCCATTTTTCTATTTCTAGGCAAATCCTGATCCCAACTGTTGTCTTGGAGTATTTGGATTGAGCTTATACACTACAGAAAGAGATCTAAGAGAAGTGTTCTCTAAATATGGCCCAATTGCTGATGTGTCTATTGTATATGACCAGCAGTCTAGACGTTCAAGAGGATTTGCCTTTGTATATTTTGAAAATGTAGATGATGCCAAGGAAGTAAGTAAAAGTCTTGTATGTTTGTAAAAATACCAGTCCTATTTTTAACTATTTTTACTGGGATAAGGACAGTTTTTGCTTTAGTAACTATATATAGCTTGAGCTAAAGGAAATGCATTCATCTGGGAACATACACTGATCAATATTGAATTTTTTAAAAAACCTAATGTGGACATTTTCAAATATTTGTACAGTAACAGAAAAGTATGACAGTTTGGTTCTATATTCCAACTCAGTCCTCTCCACCACATTTGAAGTAAATCCCAACATAGTCAACTGTTTCCAGGTGTGGTATGTGTCTAGATACAGATATTTCTAAAGTATAAGAATATTAATACTCATTTGGAATATTTAATCACTGTTTATATCAAATTACTTTTTAAATTTTATTTATTTTTGGCTGCGTTGGGTCTTCGTTGCTGTGTGCGGGCTTTCTCTAGTTGTGGCATGCGGGGGCTACTCTTCGTTGTGGTGTGCAGGCTTCTCATCCCGGTGGCTTCTCTTGTTGCAGAACATGGGCTCTAGGCATGTGGACTTCAGTAGTTGTGGCGCACAGGCTTAGTTACTGTGCAGCATGTGCGATCTTCGTGGACCAGGGCTTGAACCCGTGTCCCCTGTATAGGCAGGCAGATTATTAACCACTGCACCACCAAGGGAAGCCCCCAAATTCCTTTTTTTAAAAAAAATTTTGGCTGCATTGGGTCTTTGTTGCTAGGCACAGGCTTTCTCTAGTTGCGTCGAGCAGGGGCTACTCTTTGTTGTGGTGTACAGGCTTCTCATCGCAGTGGCTTCTCTTGTTGGCAGAGCACGGGCTCTAGGTGCGCGGGCTTCAGTAGTTGTGGCGCATGGGCTAGTTGCTCCGTGGCATGTGAGATCTTCCTGGACCAGGGATCAAACCCGTGTCCCCTGCATTGGCAGGGGGATTCTAAACCACTGCGCCACCAGCAAAGTCCCCCCCAAATTACTTTCTAAAATGGAGAAGAACATTAAAAAGTGATAAAGCTATGACTCTGACTCAGGAGAAAGGAACTGGTTTTGAATGTATACTAGCAAGTGATTTTATATTTAGAGTTAAGTTGACTTGAGGCAAAACATAGGAAGTAATTTTTTGGGGGGCTGTGCTGCATGGCTTACGGGATCTTAGTTCCCTGACCAGGGATTGAACCCAGGCCATGGCAGTGAAAGCACTGAGTCCTAACCACTGGACTGCCAAATTAAATTTTTTTTATTATGTAGACTAAAGTAAAAATTCAGTGTGAGAATCTAGGCCACATTTAAGAAATCTGGACTTTAGATACATACAGTATAAGGAAAAGTTGAGAAACTTAAATGACAAGCCATCTGAGGTCAATGTTGAGATGAGTAACTGAGTTCTAAATGAGATTATATGGTTAGATACATTTTCTTTTATATGTATATATAATTTTGTCAAGATTATACTAATTTTTAAAAACCATGGATTTTAAAATAAAAAGCTGATCTACTAAAGGAAGAATTGAAAGCTGAATGCAAGTAATTATAATTTAAGAGATTTAATAGATTCTTTAAGATCTCATTCACTTCATTTTGGTAATAATTGAACCGTACAGGCTTTCTGGTTTCCCTAAATTTTTTTTTTTCTTTTTTTGCTACAGGACCAGAGTTCACTTTCTGAAAGATAGCATATTTTGTATCTGAATCAGTAGTGCCAGAAACTGTCTTGAGGCAGAAACGATCAAACTAGAAAATAGCATACTTGGAATTAGACGTTTAAATTCTATTTAGGTGGAGGGGTGTTTCTTTAAATTGTGAACAAACTGCTATGTCTTTGGGATATTTTTTCCTTAAGTACATACTGTTTTATTTAGTCTGTGTTCTAGATAAAAGAACTATATGTAATTCAAGCTTTCTTCATCCCAACCTTTTGCTTCCATAGCAGGGAGCCATAAACTTCTGTAAAGGATTAGACAGTAAATATTTTGGGCTTTGTGCACCATAAGATGGTACACGGGCCTCTCACTGTCGTGGCCTCTCCCATTGCGGAGCACAGGCTCCGGACACGCAGGCTCAGCGGCCGTGGCTCACGGGTCCAGCCGCTCTGCGGCATGTGGGATCTTCCCAGACCGGGGCACGAACCCGTGTGCCCTGCATCGGCAGGCAGACTCTCAACCACTGCGCCACCAGGGAAGCCCACCATAAGATCTTAATGACACTTTTTCAACCCTGTCAAAGTAATGTAAAAGTAGCCATATAATATGCAAATTAATGAGTGGAGCTATCTTTCGGTAAAACATTTATGGTCACTGATTTTGAATTCCATTTATGATGAAATACTATTGATTTTCTTTCCCCTCACCCATTTAAATTCTTAGCTCATGGGTCATAGGTTGACAGCTATGTACTGCTTTAGAGCTACAAGCACTGTGTTAGATAAAATATTTCATGGGTTAAATTGGCTTTTGTGGTTTTTTTGGGTAAGCTTTTCTGGGCTAGCTTTTATAAATAAAGATTTAATAGGCGGAAAAGCCTATTAATAAGCTGTCAGGCATAATGTTCTGGCCTAGCTGAAACATCCAGTTGGACCCTGTTTATAGCTGTTGGATAATTTGGGGCTTTGTCCAGGGTGTATATAACAACTTACATATCTTTTGAAGGCGAAAGAGCGTGCCAATGGAATGGAGCTTGATGGACGTAGGATCAGAGTTGATTTCTCTATAACAAAGAGACCACATACCCCAACACCAGGAATTTACATGGGGAGACCTACCTAGTAAGTTTATTTTCAAGGTTGTTAAAAATACTGACAGTTCAGTTTGTTCAGTTCCTCCAAGAACTACACGTAGTTAGGGGTGGGGGGGATCTGGCATTTCAAACTGGCTAAAACTCAAAGTCAATACAGTATATTCAGTGGAAGCATTCTGTCGGTACCACACATTTTGATTGGTATCATTTAATAGATCACATCCCATTTTTATCCTAAATAAATGCCATAGATTTGGCTTTGCTGGGTAATTGATTTTCACCAGACCATTTTTCCCATGCTGGAAACTTAACCGTTATTATAGGTAAGATTTTTTAAGTTCGTACAAATCTTACTTACTGTTGTTCATAGTGGCAGCTCACGCCGTCGAGATTACTACGACAGGGGTTATGATCGAGGCTATGATGATCGGGACTATTACAGCAGGTCATACAGGTAAGTTAAGCATAATACTAAGTTTAAGTTGCCAAAAAGTTGAAGGTCACGCCAGGTCTTCTCCTGAATCAGTTGCAACATAATTCAAGGCAGCACTATACATACCTGAGTTTTAGTCTTTGATACAAGTCATTACCTTTAATACTAAGATCCAGGCCCAGAGTTTACACTAGTTTGTTTTGGCCACACCATGCGGCATCTTAGTTCCCTCACCAGGGATCGAACCCGCGTCCCTTGCATTGGCAGCACGGAGTCTTAACCACCGACTGCCAGGGAAGCCCCTAAACTAGATTTTATGATTATGTGTCTTTTTAATTTATCTTTGTATGTATATTTTTTAAACACCAAGTTGTAAACCAACTGAAATCCTTGGTTTCAGAACATGACAGTGAAAACAATTATAGACCATACTTCAGTTTTTTCCCCCTTTTTTGTTTTTAAAGTGAGTTTCATAAGCTGTGTTTTGAATGTCATTGCTTTATAAAGCAATTTTTCGTATCTAAGGAATCGTGCACTGAAGGGCAGGGGAAATTGATTCTTGGAAGAATCAAAGAAGTAATTATTTAAGGACAATAATTAGTGAAACAATGGTAAGAAGTTTATTACCAAAAATATTGATATATATTTTGGGGTTTGGCAGGGAAATGTTCATGACACTGGGAATACTTTGAAAGGCAAAAATGAAGTAAAGTTCTCTATTTTATTAGCAACAGCAGGTAATTCAGACCCTTCCTTGCTTGTCAAAATGTAAATTGTGTAAAGTATTGACCACAACAGTTAATCCTTGACACCTTATTTTAGTGTGGTGTTGAGGTGTGGATGTCGTCTTTTGCACACTATTCAGTAATGTTTTAAGAAGTTGACAGTCCTGACATTTAATACTGACAAAAAGAAACTTTCTTAAAACTGGCATTTCTGTAGTGACACTTAAGGGATTGATTTTTGGAAGCTGCAAAGATTAGGGTCTTAATATTTTAATTCATGAGCATTTACTTTTAATAATATTCATTTTAACCACCAGGGAGAGCTCTATGCCAATTTGTAAAGAGGTGGCAAAAGCAGCTAGCTTTCGCTTCTGCGAGTTTTAATTTTATTGCATGAACTTTCAAAAAATTTTTAAATGAATATATGTTGCTTTTCTGCCTTCACAGAGGAGGAGGTGGAGGAGGAGGAGGATGGAGAGCTGCTCAAGACAGGGATCAGATATACAGGTATGCCAGGAGAAGATTTAAAATCTGTACAATAGTAGAATGGCTCACATAAAGACATCTTCATTATTAGTATTTTGGTAAATTATAGTTGGCATTACACAGAATTGGATTGCATGAAGTTTATGAATATACTGTAACTGAAGCCAAATGACAATGTGTACATGGCTTAATTTGTGTGTTCATAGAAATTAATTGTGCTTACACTAGGTCATTTACTCAGTGGTACCATTTTGTACCTTAACATGAGATATGGCAAAACTAAGTATTATTCCTGATAGTTTTATTAGCTTTTTATAAGTATTTCAGAATAGTAAGTGAGTATTCAAGTTGATCTTTCTTACACAGAACTAAATCACTTTGAAGCACTATGAATGAAATTTTGTTTTGGGTGCTCATAGGGTATAATTAGTGGTAAAGTTTTTTTTTCTCCTTCTCTAAGCCATTTTAAATTCTGTTAAGTATAATGTTAATTAGCAGATGATCAGTGGATCAAATATAGCAAGGAGTATTCAACCTCTGATAGTTTGAGGGGTTATTTGGTACTGGGCCTGATAGTGTGCTTCATTCTCAGGACTAAAACAGACCTTGAAATCCTGTGACTAATGCAATATTTTTCAAGGTCAGTGAGGGTCTTTTAGTTTTGGAAAGTGACAAAGGGATCATATATAATCTCGGTAGTCTTAGATGGTGTTGACATTTGTTTACAGAAGACGGTCACCTTCTCCCTACTATAGTCGTGGAGGATACAGATCACGTTCCAGATCTCGATCATACTCACCTCGTAAGTTTTTATTGACTTACATGATTGTTTATATGTTGTAATAGCATGGCTTGCTGTGACTTACCAAACAGCAGATAATGGGTTAATTCAATTAGTTTTATCTGTATTTCTCTCCAACTTTTGGTTTAAGGAAGTATAGGAAAACAACCCTTGGATCTTACTGTTGTTGCTTATGTTCTGTCATCATTTGTAGCTTTTCTTTTTAGGAGTCCTTGTTAATGTTTGTACAGCTTGGAAACATTTGAGTGACTTAAAACCTTAGCTTTCAGCTATATACTCCCAGCTCTTTCTGTTTAACATTGGTCGTCTTAGTGAAATCTTTATGTGAAGGTTTTCCTCTATTTTCACAGGAGAGAATCTGGTACATAGGAATTTCCTGATGGCAGAGTAGTTTAAAATGCTCAACATTAAAAGTACACACTTGAGTATTGAAGAATATTTATTTCTTTTCTTCCTAGGTCGCTATTAAAGCATGAAGTTGAAGACTTTCTGAAACCTACCCTAGAGTTGGGATATTGTTTGTGGACAATATTTTTTATTGTCTCCTGTTTAAAAAGTGAACAGTGCCTAGTGAAGTTAGGTGACTTTTACACCTTTTATGATGACTACTTTTGGTGGAGTTGAAATGCTGTTTTCATTCTGCATTTGTGTAGTTCGGTGCTTTGTTCAAAGTTAAGTGTTTTCAGAAAAGTATGTTTTGCATGTATTTTTTTACAGTCTAAATTTTGACTGCTGAGAAGTTTCTATTGTACAAAACTTCATTTAAATGGTTTTTCTACTGAATCCAGGGTATTCTGAAGATCGAAGCCTGTGTGTAAAATGAGCTACCAAATGGCAAAAAGCAACAATAAAGTTTGGTTTTTACTTTCCTTTCTAACATATCAATGGTTAGCAGAACTGTTCAGAATAGACTGTCAGTAGTAAATTCAAGACAAAAATGCCCGTTTTCCTCCAGTCCATAAAACATAACCATACTTAATATACCTGCAATTAAGTGATAAAAATTATGCTCTGTAACTCTATACTGCTAGTATTAGGCCTAAAGATCTTTCAATACAGCTAATGCTTAATATAAATGTGAATTTGTCGGCGTTTATATAATCTGTGTTATATATATAGCAGGGAATAAGATAAGAGTTACACAATGAATGCCTTTAAAAGGCTATTTCTTAAAGCTGTTACAAGGGGATAATGGTATTTCAACTAGTTATCAGCAAGTGACAATACATTCCACCACAAATGTACTCTTGTTCTTCTAGCTTTTAGATTATATGGAAAAACTGGGTGCTTTAGGGTTTGAGAAAGAGAGAAGGGAACACTACACCTGTTGTGGATGAACTGAAGACTTTGCCTGTTCATTTTTTAAATATTATTTTCAGGTCCTTTGCTTACCAAAGGAGGCCCAATTTCACTCAAATGTTTTGAGAACTGTGTTTAAATAAACGCAAATGAAAAGAGTAAAAGGCTGGTACAACTCAGTTTATAAAGATTTTGTTTTAACCTTGCTACATATATAATTAAGAGTTCTTTTGGACTCAGTTGTATTCTTTTTTGTTGTTATTGGTGTTCTAAATAGATAAATTGTGTATTCCTGGCAGATAAATCGAAGTGAGTAACTAGGTATTGGAGTGGTCATCTCCACTTGCAGATGGTGTTATATTAAAATAACTCTAGTCTCCACACTTGCCCTGAAGTTACCTGAAATGCACATTCTTCTTAGTTTATTTTCATGGTCATTTCTAGCGAAATTGCTATAGGCAGGTAATTAAAGTTTGTTAGCCTGCTGACCTTTGTATTATTACTTAAATACAGTATACTGTGTCCCAGGTACTTTGTAAAGCACTTCCCATATATTAATATGTTCAGTCTGCATCAATCAAAATGGTGTAGTAATTTACCTTAGGTCAAACAGCTGTTAAAACAGCAATGCTGGGATCTGAACTTGACCAGTCTCAATCCATACTCTGTACTCTTAATCATGATGTCATTCTGCCTCTAACCTGGGTAACCAGATGATTAAAAATACTGGTAATGGAGTGTAGGCATTATTTGTAGGCCTAAATTTGCCAAACTTACTGGACAGGTAGAGATAGGCTGAAGAGTGGTGAGACTCCTTTCCTCTTCTGAGATAAGAAAGCAAGTAGTAATCTGTTAGTGTGCTATGATGGTAGTTACCTGGTTTACAAAAAGGGTTTTTGTAAGCCATAAAACAGTGTATAAGCATAAGAATTGAAGACCATGCGTATGGAAGGTGTAAATGGTCACTTCCTCACAGTAGAATTTGGTACAAACAGGTCCCTTTAAGACTTACTGTTCACACTATGGAACATTTTGTTCCCATAATTAAAGCTTTCTTACATTTAATTGCCAACCTTTTTTGTCACTTTTGGGGGGATCTCAGAATACTTTCCGAGTGTATCTGATTAACTGTTGCTGCATAATCAGTCATTAAAACTCAGGCACACAACAGGTACTTCCACTGCTGATCTCATCCAGGCTCTCATCTGTAGGACAGCTGGGGTTGACTGATAGACTGCAGGTGTGTGCATTTGTTCCACATGGCTCAGCCTCCTTGGAAGAGTGAGCAAACCAGCACATTTCTCACTGTGATGTGGAAACACAAGATCATGACGTTCAATCATCCAAGTACATTTTCAAGCCTCTGCTTGTAATAACATTACATCTTTTCTCATAGGCAAAAGCAAGTTTTCCAAGCTGGTATTAGATAGTTGTCATTTTCTCAGCTTCCCAGCATGCAGACCTGCCATTGGGATATTCCCCAAGCTGAGTCCTGCTGAGAGGCAGAGCCCACCTAACACCATAGATGCCCCAAATCCCAGATGCTTGTTTACCCATTCTTTGCATCTACAGCATATGCCTGTGAACTAGGCATGGTCAGTCAGGTGTATGCAAACTTTAAACCTTAAACCCAAGAAGTAGGGATAGTAGAAAATTATTCAAGTGAGTAGAGTGGATAGTAAGTGCCTTAAAGATGTCAGCAATATGTGAGAGGGAGTGGAACCAGGGGATAGGGAGGTGGTTATATCTCTAGCCAGCAGATTCCTTACCTGGTGTCAGTGGCAGCAGTGGGACAGGCTGGTGTCCACAGTTTGGCAGTGGTGGTGACCTCACTGGACTGACTTAATGGTGTGGCTAAAACTTTCTTCCAAGCCTGACTCTCCTTTCCTCTTGCAGTCTGCAAACTTAAAAAGACACCAAAAATTTCCTGTATCTGCTTAAGTCAACTGGCATTTTTTATTTATAATCAAGAATCTTGACTGATAAGTAACTCCTTGTCATTTTGTGATGCTTAATTGGTAGCCATCTCTAGTCTCAATTTGTATTCCCTCTAATCCATTCTTCATTAAGCGGTCAATGTCTTAAGAGGTATATCAGATCACATCATCCCTTTGTTTTAAAATCCTTCAATGGTTTCCTCTTGCATTTAGATATAAATCCAAATTTTCTTTTTTAGTGACCTGCAAGGACCTTCACTAACCCCTCAACCCACCAGGTCTCTCCAACCTCATCTTGCAACTTTCCTTTTGGATACTAGAAGCAGGAGCTTCCTCAGCTTTAGTAAACGAGTAGAAATTCCAACAATAAGCCACTTGTGAAGAGGAGAGGAGCAAGGAGGAGGCAAGATGGAGACAAGACTTGGAACTGAGTATCTATTATGGTACTTTTTAGGCTTGGGACCAATTCCCTAATGCTGATTCTTGCTTATTGCCTGCTTGACCTTTATAATTACAGTTTTTTCAAAACATAGTTTAAAATGTAAGCAGCTTAAAATTTTTTGACCTTTAAAATATTTTTAAATGAATTTCCTGAAGCTATTAAAAGCTGAGTCTCCTTAAGGTTAAGTTGATATTATTTTTTCAGTGTAATGGCTATATAGTTTATTTAAAGCTAAAAATTATCTGATTGATAAGACACATACTGTATCTCTCTTCTTTCCCCAGGCAAAAAGATGGTCCCATTAGGCAATATAAAGCAAATTATCTGATAATTGTATATCATGATAATTCTCTCCAGTCTAAAGGTGCTATTTGAATTTAAAGGTTGTCAAATTACTTCTGATTTCTAGTTCTGCATGTAAGGAAACTGGAAGTCACCACTCCATCCTAACAAGTAAAAGCTGAACAACAACAAAAAGTCAACAGCTCTTTTTCCATCTGTAAGAGAGGTAAGGTCATAGGGCAAACTGCTGCCCCCCAAATTGAAGAGATGGGAAAATACATTGGAATCTCAGCTTAGTGGAGTTGAAACCCACAAGCAGAAATCTCTGCAAAAACCATTCACCAGAGCATTCTGTACCTCTTAAAGATCTGGCCCCAGGAGAAACTATTTAACCAGAGCCCAACATGCTGGGATTTTATCAGAGCCTAGCTGACGTGGAAAAGGGAAATACCCAACTCCAGCTTGCTCTAGCTATCTTGTCCCACATAAGAGGCCAGGAATGGTGGTGGTGTGTCGGGGCAGGGGGCTCAGAAGCACTTGTGAAGTTTACAGGGCAGAGGCACAGACACACTAGAAGACTGACACTAATCACAGGAGTATAGATGGTTTCCCCTCTACCCATACCTTACCACCACATTTCTAAAGGCTTACGGCAATTCCTTATAGCCAGTACATTATGTCCAGCTAATGGGGGGAAAAAAATACAAGGCGTATTAAAAGGCAAAAGCCACAGTTCGAAGAGACAGTAGGCATTAGAACCAGACTTAGATATGGCAGGGATGTTGGAATTAACAGACTGGGAACTTAATTAAAACCACTGTTTAATATGCAAAGGGCTGTAATGGATAAAATAGCATGCAGGAACAGATGGGCAGTGCAAGCAAAGAGATGCAAACTAAGAAGAAATCAAAAAGAAATGCTAGACATCAAAAACACTGCAGAAATAAAATGCCTTTACCAGATAATAAAACAGGACATAGCTAAGAAAGGAATTGCTGAGCTTAAGGAATTCTCAATAGAAACTGCCAAAACTGAAAGAAAAACACCAAAAACCCAAAAACTAAGACAACTGCAAAAGGTATAGCTCATATATAATGGTAATACTAAAAGAAGACGAACAGAAGAAATATTTTAAACAATAATGATTGAGAATTTACCCAAGTTAATGTCTATTGCAGACTGTGTTGCCCTCAGAATAATATGTTGAAACTTCATCTCTAATGTCATGTTATTTGGAGCTTTGGCCTTTGGGAGGTAATTAGATCATGATGATGGGGCCCTCATAAATGGGATTAGACACCAGAGAGCTCCCTTGCTCCTTCCACCATGCAAGCACAACAGTGAATCAGGAGGTGGATCTTCACCAGATGCTGAATCTGCCAGTGTCTTGATCTTGGATTTTCCAGCCTCCAGAACTATAAGAAATTTCTGTTTATAAGCCAATCCGGTTTATGATACTATGTTAGAGCAGCCTGAACAGACTGGATGCCAAAGCACAGATCCAAAAAACTCAGAACACCAAACAGGGTAAATGCCCCAAAACCACAACAAGGCATGTCATTTTCAAACTACAAATAATTGAAGATTAAAAATCCTGGAAGAAGCCAGAGGAAAAACGCATTTTACCTATAGAGGAGCAAAGATAAGAATTATATTTGACTTCTCAGAAACCATGAAGGAAGAGTGGTGTGTGAACAATGTTGAGAGAAAAAACCCCACCAACTTAGAATTTCTGTGCCTTGCGAAATTATCCTTCAAAAGTGAACAGTGGGACTTCCTTGGTGGCGCAGTGGTTGAGAGTCTGCCTGCTGATGCAGGGGAAGCGGGTTTGTGCCCCGGTCCGAGAAGATCCCACAGGCTGCAAAGCAGCTAGGCCCGTGAGCCATGGCCGCTGAGGCTGTGCGTCCGGAGCCTGTGCTCTGCAATGGGAGAGGCCACAACAGTGAGAGGCCCGGGTACAGCAAAAACAAAACAAAACAAAACAAAGAAACAGTGAAGACTCAGAATCAGAATTGAAGGAATTCGTTGCTAGTACACCTGTCCTGCAAGATAAGCTCTTGAGAGAAAAGGAAAATAATACAGATTATAAAGATATCTACATAAAGGAAGAGCATCAAAGAAAGATTAGTGAAGGTAAAATTTTTTATTCTTAATTGACCTAACAATTATTTTGAACAAAATGTTAACAGTGTGTTTGATTACGTATGCTTACGTATGTCATATATGTGTATATTTGTATATTCTTACATGTAAATGAATGATAGCAATGATACAAGGGATGCTAGGGAGGAACTATTATTAAAAAGGACACTACTGGTGAAGCAGTGTAGTAGCATTTTAAAGTGGATTTGGATTAGCTGTATATTGCAAACTCTAGGATAACCACTTAAAGAAAGTAAAAAAGTATAACTGATATGCTAAGAAAATGGAAATATGCTCAAAACCACAAAAAGGAGAAAGAACAAAAATAAGGAACAAAACAAGTAGAACAAAAATAGAACAACATGGTAGATATTAATCTAACTATATCAATAATCACTTTGAATGTCAATGGTATAAATAAAGGAGATTATCAAAGTGAATCAAAAAAATAAAGTGGGTTTATTGTAGACAAGACACAGACTAAAAGTAAATGGATGAAGAAAGATATACCATGCTAATAATACTAATGAAAAGAAAGCAGGAGTACAGTAAGTCCCCTACATACGAACTTTCAAGTTATGAACTTGATGCAGATGCAAATGTGCATTCGCATGTCCAGTCACTTTAGTTCATGTGTCTAGTGTACATCGTCATGTGTGTGCATCCTCTACAAGTGGTTGTGCTTCTGTATACTTTACTGTATAGAGCACAGTATCTTTATATCAAGCCCATGGTGTCTGGAAGCAAGCGTAAAAGCAGCAGTGATACAGCTGGTACACTGCAGCCTATTGTGTTAGTTGGGTACCTAGGTTAACTTTGTTGGACTTGTGAAAAACGACTTACAGATGTGCTCTCGGAACAGAACTTGTTTGTATGTAGAGGACACTACTCTTATTAATTTCAGAGTAGACTTCAGAGCAAGGAAAATTACCAGGGTTAATAAATAAAAAGAGGCATAATGATAAAGGGATCTTCAAGAAGATATAAGAATCCTTATGCACCTAACAACAGAGCGTCAAAATATGTGTAGCAAAAACTGATAGAACTGCAAGAAGAAATAGATAAATCCACTAGCTTGGATAGAAACTTCAACTCCCTTCTCAGAAGTGAACAGATTCAACAGGCAGAAGATCAGTAAGGACATAGCTGAACTCAGCACCACCAACAATCAACTGGATATAATGGACAGCTATAGATTGCTTCACCACCAACAGCAGAATACACATTTTTCTCAGGTTCACCTAGATAACATTCTGGGCCGTAAAACTAAACTAAACAAATTTAAACAAAAATACAATGCCTGCTCTCATTACCACAATGGAATTAAAGTAGAAATCAGTAACAACTGGAAAAATCCCCAAGTAATTGGAGATTAAACAACACACTTCTAAATAACAGGTCATTGTGAAAATCTCAAGAGAAATTTTAAAATATTTGGAAACGAAAATTGTGAGATGCAATGGAAACAGTGCTTAGAGGGAAATTTATAGCATTGAATGTGAATATTAGAAAAGAAGAAAGGTCTAAAATCAATGTAAGAGAAAAGGAAATAATAAAAATTAGAGCAGAAACCAATGAAATTGAAAACAGGAAATCAATAGAGAACAGCAAAAGAAAAGCTGGCTCTTTGAAAAGTTCAATAAAATTGATGAGCTGCTAGCAAGGCTAACTTAAAAAAGAGATGGGACACAAATTACTAATATTATAAATAGAAAAAGGAACATAATCTCAGACCCATGGGCATTAAAAAGGATAATCAAAGAATAGTATGAACGACTTTATGCCCACACATTTGATAACCTAGATGAAATGGAGCAATTTCTTAACAAGAGAAAAATAGAAGATTTGGGCCCACAGATGGCTGGTCTACTTCTGGGGACTCTGTGTCTGAAGCCAGCACACCAAGACCACAGGTCACCATGGCCACACCATGGGTGTGTCCAAGAAGAAATTTGTGGGCATTGTCTGTTAATAGTTTATACAGTAAAAAATAATTGGCATAGGCCTATATCAAAGAAATTGAATCACTAACGAATAACCTTCCGAAACAGTATCCAGGTGGATTCACTGATGAATTGTACCAAACATTTAAGGAAGAAATTGTACCAATTCTCTTCAAAGGAAGTACTTTCTAACTATCCTCCCTATCCTATGAGGATAGCATTACCCTAATACCAAAACCAAATACAAGAAAATTACAGATCTCTCATGAACACACATGCAAAAATCTTCAACAGAATATTAGCAAATCAAATCCAACAATGTATAAAAGAATTATACACCATGACCAAGTGGGATTTATCCCAATTATGGAAGACTGGTTCAGAATTCAAAAATCAATTAATGTAATCCATTACATTGACAGGGTAATTGAGAAAAATCACATGATCATATGCAGAAAACGCATTTGATAAAATCTAACACTTATCCATGATAAAAACTCTCAATAAGCTAAGAATAGAGGGGAACTTCCTCAGCTTGATTAAAAAAAAAACTACAAAGACCCTTAGAGCTAACATTGTACTAGATAAACTAGGAGCTTTCCCACTAAGATCAAGAACAAGAAAAGGATGTCTCACCATTCCTTTTCACCATCATCCTCAAAGTCCTGGCTAAGGCAATAACACAAAAAAAGGAAATAAAAATATACAGATTGAGAAGGAAGAAACAAAACTGGTTTTGTTCACAGATGGCATGATTGTGTAGAAAATCTTAAAGAATTGACCCCAAAAACCCTCCTGGAACTAATAAGCAATTATAGCAAGGTTGCACGATACAAGGTTAATAATACAAAGGCCAACACTCCTATATACGAGCAATTAACAAGTGGAATTTGAAATTAAAACTACAGTACCATTTACAGTACCACCCCAAAATTGAAATAATTAGGTATAAATCTAACAAAATACATGTAAGAACTATATGAGGAAAACTATGAAACTCTGATGAACAAAATCCAAGAATAAATAGGTGTTCCATGTTCATGGAGAGGAAGACAATATTGTCAAGATGTCAGTTCTTTCCAAATTGATCTATAGATGCAATGCAATCCCAATAAAAATTCCAGTAAGCTATTTCATTGATATTGACAAAATGATTCTAAAGTTTATTTGGAGAGGCAAAAGACCCAGAATGATCAACACAATATTGAAGGAAAAGAAGAAAACTGAAGGACTGATACCACATGGCTTCAAGACTTAACAGTAATAAATACAATGTGGTATTAGAGAAAGAATAGATCAATAAAACAATAGAGAACCCAGAAATAGAACGCAGAAATAAACCCATATAAATAAAGTCAACTGATCTTTAGCAAAGGAGCAAAGGTAATGCAATGGAAAAAGATAGTCTTTTCAACAAATAGTGCTGAAACAACTGGATATTCACATGCAAAAAAACCCAAAAAACACGTAGACACAGACCTTAAACCTTTACAAAAATTAATTCAAAATGCATCACAGACCTAAATGTAAAATACAAAACTTCTAGAAGGTAGCATAGGAGAAAATTTAGATGACCTTGGATATGGTAATGACTCTTGAGAAAACAGTAAAGGAATAATCCATGAAAGAATAACCTGGACTCATTTAAAATTTAAAACTTCTACTTTGTGAAAGATAATGTCAAGAGAATGAGGAGGCAAGCCACACCCTGGGAGAAAATATTTGCAAAAGGCACATCTGATAAAGGAGTATTATCTAAAATATACAAAGAACTCTTAAAACTCAGCAATAAAAAAATGAACAACCGATTAACAAACGGGCCAAAGAGAGCTTTACCAAAGGGAAAATATACACAAGGTGAATAAACATGAAAAGATGCTCACATCGTGTGTCACCAGGGAATGCAAATTAAAACAAGATACCACTACGCATCTATTAGAATGACCCAAAAAATCCAGAACACCAACAGCATCAGATGCTGGTGAGGATGTAATACAACAGGAAGTCTTACTGCTGGTAGGAATGCAAAATGGTAGACATTTTGGAAGACAGTTTGGCAGCCAGCGTCTTACAAAACTGAATATAATCTTGGATTGTATAATCCAGCAATCACACTCCTTGGTATTTACCTAAAGAAGTTGAAAATTTAGCTCCACTCAAACCCCTGTTTCTGGCAGTTTTGTTCATAATTCCCCACAGTGGGAAGCAACAGAGGTATCCTTCAGTGGGTGAATGGATAAACTGGTACATCCAGACAATGTAATTTTATTTAATATTATTTATCACTAATGAGTTATCAAGCCATGAAAAGACATGGAGGAAACATACATATTGCTAAATGAAAGAAGCCAATGTGAAAAGGCTATATGCTGTATGATTCCTACTACTAATATGACATTCTGGAAAAGGCGCAAAACTATGAAGA